ATAATATACAGCTGTATTTTTGTGTGTGTGTGTGTGTGTGTGTGTGCTGAAACATGAGATTTTCACTTAAACTGTTGAGCTTTTGAAAATAAGGGTTTAATTTTACACTGATGGCTTTAAAAAAAAGCACAAGTGTGGGAGTAATTTGATATTGTGCCTTTGATGCGTTTGCAACAATGCGAGCTGTCAAGACTCAAGACACTCTGGCACACTCACACGTGAACACACAGGTGTATTATGGTGAGTGGTGCGAGCTGTTGAATGATAGGCTGTTTGCAGTAGAGAGGTTTAGGGGAGGTATAGGCAGAGGTGGAGAAAGGCAGAAGTGGAGATGGGAGGCAGAGGTGTGGAGGTGAAGACAAGCTGGAAGTTTGGAAACAGATGGCCTTTGTATGTAACACATGCATTCATGGACGGGTGTGTGAATGCATGTGTTACTGGACAAAGTGTGTGTGTGTGTGTGTTTGGAGGGGGGTGAGTTAATTTTGGTGTGCTCAGATCTCTGGTCTCAGCTGTGGTGTAATTGATTAAATGAATTAGTACAGAATATAGAATTAATGTTCATGAATAGGATCCTGTGTTTTGTGTGTGTGTTGTGTGTGTGTGTGTGTGTGTGTGTGTGTGTGTGTGTGTGTGTGTGTGTGTGTGTGTGTGTGTGTGTGTGTGTGTGTGTGTGTGTGTGTGTAACCGTTAGCTCAAAATGCTGGTTTGTGTGTGTGACCAAAAATTGGTATGCTACTATATTAGTGGGGACCAAATCCTGCTCCTCATTAATTTAAAGGCAACTTTGAGGTTCAAAATGAAATTTTAAGTATTATATGGAGTCCATTTCTGGAAGATTTGAAAACAAGTGTGTTTGTTTTTTTTTTTTTTTTTTTTGTGTGTTTGTGTGTGTGTGTTGTGTGTGTGTGTGTGTGTGTCAGATGGGTTATTAGAATGAAATATAAAATTAGTCTTGATGAAAAGCACCAGATATGTGCACATGTAATTGAATTAACCAGTCTGTGCTCCGTGTGTCAGCATAAATAAAATGTTCACCTTGCGTGCTTCATCCTGCTGAGAGGTGCATCACAGACAGACCAGCCAGTCAGGAGGCCGTTCTACTGTCAAAAGCACTGCTTGTTTAATTTCTGTCATAATAGGTATTCAGGATGTACAGCTGGGTGGGAAATTACAGTTAAATAACATTATGGGTCTTAGCAGGATGTTGGACCAGTAGGAGCCCTAAAACAGTTTTAGCCAGGCTCTGCTGGCAGGATGACCACCAGTCTTCCAAAAGAATTCACCTCATTTGGTGTTTTGATGGTAACGAGGAGCACTGTCTAATGTACCAAGGTATATATGGGCTATAGATGTTTTTAAGTTTTAAAATAATTTGATGGAATTATTTATTTATATATTATAGCCAGCAACTTAACAGCTAACTTAAATAGATTAGCCAACATTCTTTCTCTTTTAAGTTGCTTATGTTCTTGGGCAGTTCAATCTAAATCTAATGTGTTATATTTTGTGAGTCATTTTTATTCTTGAAAGTGGTTAGGGCAGTTGTCTCACAGTAGTTAAGATCCTTGGTTCAAATCTGCAGACTGGCGTCCATCTGTAGGAAGTTTGCATGTTCTTCCCATGCCTGAGTGGATTCTCCCTGAATACTCTAGCTTCTGATAAAAGATGTATGTCTGCTTAACTAGTGTTTCTCCATTAGCCCTGCAGGTCACATGTGACAGACTATGACCTCACGCTATGACAGTTTTGATGAGGGCAACTGCAACCCTGAAACGGATAAGCAGAAGAAAGTGGGTGAATGGTGGAAAAGTGCTGTTTGCTTCTAAATATAGTGGAGTAGAGGTATAAAATAGCATCACAACAGCAATACTTGAATTACCATAAAGTACCTTAAAACACTACCACTAATAAATGTCAATGTCAGTGATCATGAAACCATGTGATAACACCTCCTGCTCAAAAGTCTCTGTTTGAGGCTTCTATATCACAGGGATCTTCTGGTACTGCTAAAGTTCACTGCTGATCTGCGTCCACTTGTCCCCTAAGCGTTAAGGTTCGATACAAATCAGTGCAAGGCTGTTATGAGTGATCATAACAGTCTTATCTTATGATGTAATATGTCTCTCCTGGTAAGAGTGGTCTCTTTCATAGTGACAATAACCCCATCCACCAGACATGAGGGGGGTCACTAAACGATTTGATGATGATGGAAATCAAGTCAATTAAATGCTGTTTATGTATCACACTCATCACATCTCAGTCGAAATGAGCATCTATGGGATATTTTAAACTAGCTCTCTCAACCACCATCATCAAAACATCAAATGAGAAAATATCTTTTGGAAGATCAGAGACTCAGAAATGTATGACTTCTGGACTCAACTCCAAGGTGAATTCAAGCTTTTCTTCTTACACTTTACATTGTTTTTTCCCCTTTAATTTTTTCTTTAAATATGCATGCACATACTACACATAGATGCATATGCTATTGTGTAATATGCCAAAATTAGTTAAAAAATATTAGCATACACATACTGCAAAGCAATATGTTACAAGATCTCCTCGGTCACCTCAGACAGCCTTCCTCACCAGCAGCGTGCACGTTATAAAAATCAGACACACATTATCTGCCCTGACCACACTCACTGTAAAATCTTCAAGAGTTCTGTGTTTAGTTTAGAGACGCATTCAGAGTGGCCGTGACTGAATCCGAGTCATGCTACAGCTGCTCTGACACACAGCACATAAAGTAGCCACAGAGCAGGGTTATTTGATGAGTGCTTGCTTATACTCGCATCCATATAAACAGGTTAAAGCCAGGGTTGTCGAGTTTGGCAGAACTTAATAGATAATAGAAGATTACACCAGGAAGCCCTGCACGTACGCACAGAGAACAAACACAGGGTAGATTTGCAGACTTAGTAAAAAATTTTCTAACTGTAGATGCTTCGGTGCTTGCTTTGAAATTTACCCAACTGTAAACTTTACGTGAAAAAGCAGGCTTGGCTCAGTTTCAATTTTTTTTTCTTTTTTTGTTGCTATTAAAGATCTTAAATCCACAACCTTCAGAAAGTTATTCATTTATGAATTACAGCTGGAACAATAAAGATAGCAAGGCACAAGTTACTTTGCATATATTTTAGTGGCTGTCATTATCTCTGTTTACACTCCCTCCTGAACTTTCGGCAGTTTTGTTCTTTTTACTTTACAGCATTACGATGGTTTCGGTGTGAACATGTTTGGACGGTGTGTTACAGACATCATCTGGGCATTGTGTTTAATTCTGTGTCTGTCAACATATTTTTATTTTTTTTATTTTTTCCAATAAGGTAAAGAAGGATACAAACTTATTAAATCAAGTTTAATGTACGCTACATGTTTTTCCATTCAGTTTGTTTAATTCTTAGGAAGCACAAAATAAAAACTCAAGCATGGACTAAGCCACTGTGTCACTGAATAACAGCACACAAAAATCCAGCTAATTTCACTGATTAATTAATTATTAATTACAATACTGTGCAAAGGCCTTGAGTCTTTAGTTTTTGTATAATTTGGCATACCTCAGCCTTTTCTCTCGGTTTCCCTTTCTTAAGAATAGCTTCTTGACAGCCACCCTTCCACTGAAACCATTTCTGATGAGACTTAAGCAAACAGTAGATGGATGGAGTGCAGGGTCAGATGCATCTGTCAGGTCTTGTATCAGGTCTTTGCTGGATTTGTTCCTGTTTCTTAAAGACATGACTTTAGATACTTTTCGTCTGCTGAAGATCATTTTTAAGGTCTTTCACTTGTGCAGTTTCATTAAAAAACCCCCCCCCCAAATTTAAGGACACACAGCACATCATGTCAACTAAAGAAATTAAAACAAATGCTGTGTTTTTGAATCAAACTGCTAGTTTCCAAGTGTCTAAAGTTACAGTGTAGACACTACACTAGTGTTAGATACCAGTTTGTGCTTGAATGATTCATAGGTCAGTGTTAAGTTGCTTAACAAACAAACAAACAAACAAATGATCAGGTATAAGGACTATACCTGAAAATAAGTGAAAATAAGTAAAAAAGCAGAAAATGTCCAAAACAAATCAAAACTGTGAAAGATCTTTAGAAAGCCTGGAGAAGCATTGCTCAAGACCACTTTATAAAAAATCACAAAAAAGCCTGGAAAAATATAAAGACAGACTTTTGCCCAATACTGTATATCCCCGAGTTTAATAAGTGGATTTATATGATTTATGATTTCTATTATAGCCATGGGGAACACATGGGGTAGGCTGGATATGACTTATGAGATTAAGAGGTGTCCTTTTGGAGTATTTCGAGTGTAATATGGTTAATTTTTAAACACTTATTTGATGTGGGATTTCAGAAACAACAGACATACAAAATAAAAGGGAAATTGTTTGCACTTACCTGTATTTGTGCAAACTAGAAGTTCTAATAATGATATAAATCCTATCAGTACTAAAATATAAAATGTGATTTTATTGTTACTCTTAAGAGGCTTATTTACCTGTGAATGAATGCCATTCTAATTACACCTTGTAAAATCCGTTAACATTTCCACAGCTACTGAATAGCCTCCCTTATTTTTGCAACATGTTTGCATTAGTATTTCTATTCCTTTTACATTTTAAACATGAGTTAAGATTTTTTTCTGAATAACATTTTTGTTCATCGTCAAATGTTCGACTTTTGTATTTTGTTCTAATGTTCTTGCTGTTCGTGCGCAATTAAATAGTGAATTGAATAAATCAATAAGCTCATTATTATTTTTAGTTTATACAGTGCTGCTTTACATAGACTTCATAACTTTTATCAGATTTTGTATTTATTTGTTTTTGTCCTATTTTACTCTCTCTCTCTCTCTCTCTCTCTCTCTCTCTCTTTCTCTCTCTCTCTCGCTCTTTCTCTCTCTCTCTCTATCAATGTGGTATAGGCGGGTTTTCCGCCAGCAGGGTTTGGTTGATTCTCTATTGATTTGCTGGGGTGGGAGAGGAGGAGGAGAAAGTGAAATGGGAGGAGAGCAGGAGAAACCTCCGCCTGGCCGGTGAGGGAGGGAGGGATATGATTGTGCGTGTTCTGGACGAGAGAGGAGAGTGATCGTAATCAAGGCAAAAGTCCGGCTTGCAGCGGGAGCGCACTCTAATCACGTGGGGTTTGGATTTGTAAAGGAGAGAAAAAAGTAAAAGTGTCGACGAAGTGACTTCTGGTTGTACTTTGTATTTTCTTTCCTCTCTGTGCCTTTCCACCTCCCCCTCCGCCCTGCATTCCGCGGAGCAGCTGTGTTTTAATGCCCCTGCGCACCCGTGGAGGAGAGGAAGGAGAGAAGAGTGAAGAAGAAGGGGCAGAAGAAGTAGTGAGAAGGCCTGGACACCACCCGTCCTCGCCCTCTGGAGGTCTGTCCACTCTCCCCTCCTGGCCCTGCATGGACGGGGATGGGGAGAGCCGGATGCTGTTGCCGCGGGGCTGAGCGCCTCACCTCCCCGTCTATGGTGCGCCGCTTCCGGCCGCTTCTACTGCTGATCATCGCTCTGTGCTGCGGTGCTCACATAGGTAACTAATCACACTTGCAACACTGCAACACCCAGAATCTCTTTGGGTCACAGTAGCAACTGATCTGTAATTTATCTACTTTCATATTCAGTGATGAACTATTTACTGCGGACTCCATCAGCTATAACCATAGTAACAACATTTCTTTTCAGTCGCCATCACTTGATGGTGATTGAAACACTTTGTTAGTTATTAAGCATTTGTAATCACTGTGCAGTTGATCCTTGTGTTGGGCCCAGTGCTGCCTGACAATGGCTCTCTCTAAAGCGGCAGTGCAGCAGTCTGAGCACGGATCGAGTTTCTCCTCTCTCCTGGGCCGTCATTCTCCTGTCTGCCTCTTAATGGCTCATGGAGGAGGGGGAGAGAAGGCAGGAGCGAGCTACCTCTCCTCTTGTCCATATAAACCAATTCTTTTAGTGCACTCATTTACAGAAAAAACAAACACACAAAACAAAACAATCTATTCCACCGCTGCACATCATAAAATGTAAAAGGAAGTTGTGCTGTGATTTAAATCTGGCCAAACCTAAATAAACATGTAATGTTGAGCTGATGCTGATTAATAATGTCTATTGTAAGAAACAGGATCAGATAATCTAATTTAAGAACATATTCTTGAATGTCCAACATATTTCTCTTTATATTTGTGGATGTTTATCTTTTAAAACCCCTACAATCATCCAAGGCTAGTTAGAAAAACAACAACAACAAAAACCCCCCAATGAATTTAATAAATGAAGAGCCTGTTAACTGGACGTTAACAAGGTGTCTGCAAGGATTTCTGACACTAAACTCAAATGTGACAGTTTTGAAATACTTCTGTTTTCTGTGGCTTTGCAGAGCTCTTTACTTTTTTGTGAAACTGTTTGCTGGTCTGGTTTCTGTATGTCTCGTAAAGATACAGAAGCATTTTACATTTGGTGCAAAAAGGCAGCAAAAAAAAAAAAAAAAAAAAAAAAAAATCTGGCTGAGTCTGAGTGTTTTTGTCTGTGCAGGGGGTCGGCTGTCTGTAGAGCAGTCACACCTCCAGTAATTAGTTTAACACAGCGCAGGCAGTCGGACAAAATGGGAACACAGAGAGAGACCCACTTCACATTAAAGACCCTCTTGGCACCTATGTTGCACGTGCGTCACCTGGAAAGAATGTGTTTTTTTGTTTGTTCGTTTTTTAGTTTGTCCAGCCAAACAGAATGTTTTATTTGTTAAAACTTGTACATGTTTTGCGGTATTTAGATACATTTCTTTGTTGTAAGCCCCATGTGTCTGTTTAGGCAGGGAGGAAGGAGGGTCTGAATTGTTGACTATTGTTCACAGTGTCTGGCCGACGACAGAGAGAGTAAGCTCCTGTAAAGCTTTGCAGCTTAAAGCTATGGAAAAGGTGTTTGTGTGATTTGAGCTCAGCGTGTGAGAGAGTGCACACAACAAGGTGATCAATAAGCACTTCTGGAGCTATTCCCTTGGTTGAGAAATGATCCCAGTAGATCCTTTCCTGATCTCCAGAGATCAAAGGAGTTGAAGGCAGCGAGATTGGGAGGCAAAAAAAAAAATGCTAAACTGAGCCATTGAGATTCAGCTGGTTGATCTTATGACCTCTGTCTGATGGTAGAGAAGGTGCCTCAGGAAGAGAGGCAGTAAGGAGGTGAGGCTGGCCAGGGAATGAGGCTGAGGGGGCTGAAAGCAGAATAGTGCTGAAGGAGGCAAGTGATTGAAGCTACAAAGGAAAAAAAAGAGAGAAAACTGAAGATATGAGAGAGAAGATTCGAGTCCTGTGGGATTATATTGAACGCGAGGAAGACAGAGGATAAGGAGCAATGTTGAAGGCAATTTTAAACACACGAGGAGTTGTGTATTCTCCTCTTAATAGTATTTGCCAGCCACCGCAGTATTCATCACCTCGGCTTTACTTGGCAAAAAATATGCTAATTTAGAGAAACTGTTTACAAAGGAGATCACATGAATGTTTTCAGAAGCAAATAAGAAAATTGTGCTTTAACATGTAACGTGTAAATATTACAGACGTTATTAAGCATCATATGGAAATCCTAGTTTTTATTTCCGAGAGGTCAGAGTGCAGGGTCAGCATGGGAGCGACACAGTGGTGTAAACTTCAACAGAAGCTTTCCGTCAGTAAGGTTTTGCAGATCGATGGTTTAATGCCAGAGCCCTGCAGTCAGAGGGTCAGCTTGCTTCTCGCTAAGTTATCCTTCGGAGAAAATATTAGTGAATAAGTGCTTTTTGTGCAGCAGCTCATGATCCTGATAACTTCTGAAAGAGAACAAACTGCTCTGATTAGATTGGGAGTCGCATTTGGGTACTGCAGGCTAGATTGGAGGGAAAGAAGGAGGCTGTTGGTGCACCAGTCAAAGACACAATGTGTCCTCAGTACTCAGACCTGTCTGTGCAGCGGTGGTTGGCATAGGAGGCAGCCTGTGTGTGTGTGTGTCTGTGGGTTGGTGTCAGTATTTAACAGTTAGGAGAAAGATTCTAAAGCGCAGTGTGAGTGAGGGTCCGTACCTGCACCCCGAATAGCAAAATTCAGAGCATTACTGCCCCCATTTGGTGGCATCACACTCCTTCATGCTCTAAAATCAGATAAATCGACAGAGAATAGCGGACGTGTGCTGCCAGCTGGTTAAGTGATGGAGTAACGTTTGAGTGATCGTTTCTGTAAAAACTCTTGCACTTTCGGCCTTTTCTTGGCCATTAAGAGACCATCATCTAAAGATCACCGACTGTGTGTGGTTAACGGAAGTACAAGCAGCATTCTTTCTAAGATAGCTATTGCTGTGTGTGTGTGTGTGTGTGTGTAGCTGCTCATACACTGCAGAGCCTCTCTCTCTCTGGCCTAATCTAATTGGAGCACGTTGTGACTAATGCATTAGGTCTGGTCTCTAATCTCTTTCTCGCTCTATCTTTCTCTCTCTCTCTCCGATGATCTATGATATAAAAGGCGACTTTGACCCTCGTTACATTTAGAAACGCAGAAAAAGATAAAACATCAGGGAAATCTGTTTCTGATGGCTACACGAGGGGCATTTTTGATTATGTTTTTCCTCTGCAGAAGCCACCCAGGATCACTAACACAATTATTCAGCACCTTGCTGACGAAGATTATTAGCTTCAAAAAGTCACTGTGTTGTGTTTGTATTCACAGCACAGCTGCTTTGCCCTGTTCCCTTTGTCTATAATGCTCTATATGCTGTGTGCTCCTTGGCTGTATGGGCACTTTTATCTCACTGCTTGTGGTAAAACATGCTTCGTCTTCCCTCTCTCCGGTTGCTCTTTGGTTTATTACACTTCAGGTTTATTACGCTCACAGAGCGGCACTGATGATTGATCCAGACTTTCAATCAACAGCTGGTTCTTTTTCTAGTTTTATTAGGTTTTTATTAGACTGTAAAAAGACTCATATCACTGCGTGCTTAAAATCAAAGCTTTCTTCACACGTAACCTTGGTAGTCTTGTGTGATTGCACAACCTTTTCACTTCCACTGAGACATAACTGTGTCTAGTTCATGCCTAAATTATCAGACATGTGTGTATTATATATTAGTATTCCAGACTCTATCTGTGTGTCCTCTTCAGGTCAGTGCCAGGTGGCCACACCTCAGTGTCGTATCCAGAAGTGCACCACCGACTTTGTCTCCCTGACCTCCCACCTGAACCCTGCGGTGGATGGCTTTCACACTGAATTTTGCAAGGCTTTGCGTGCATACTCGGCCTGCACTCAGAGGACAGCAAAGGCCTGCCGTGGAAACCTGGTCTTCCACTCGGCTGTTCTGGGCATCTCAGACCTAATGAGCCAGAGAAACTGCTCCAGAGACGGCCCCACTTCTCCCACACACCCCGAGATTCCCTTTGAGCCATGCAACTATCACAGCCGCACTCAGCACGCCCACACGCAATCCCATGCACACGCTCACTCACACTCACACACTCACAGCCACAGCCACAGCCACTCTCGGGCTGAGTACCTGTTTTGTGGGCTCTTTGGTGACCCCCACCTGAGGACATTCAAGGACAGCTTCCAGACTTGTAAAGTGGAGGGAGCATGGCCTCTTATTGATAACGACTACCTTTCAGTGCAGGTCACTAATGTTCCTGTGGTTCCTGGCTCCAGTGCAACAGCAACCAATAAGGTAAGGAACCAGAAACTGGCTTTTGGGCTCTTATTTTTCCATTTTTGAAGCTGAAACACTCTTACGAGTGCAAGCAGGGTTAACAAGTCT